ATACTCAACATTTTCTTCATACATCTCCTGTGCGTCAGAGCATGCTGTTAAACAGGTCCAAAAGACCATGCTAAAACTTTGAAAAACCTGACTCAGGATAATTATTCTTTCTCAAAGGAGCATGCCTGGAGTTCAGCCAAAACCTGAGAAACATTTTATAATTATAACTTATACCAATGATACATATTAATCATATACTAATTTTAATATATGATTATTCCTATTTCTATTAATAACCCATAGCTCTATTAATAACTACTGATAGAAGTTTATTACTGATATTTTTATATATAAAATCAAATCTGTAGTTTAGGTACTAACCCTCCATTAAAGCATCTGGTCCTTGCAGCTCTATTGCTATACCATACAGTGCTATGTTGAAATTTGTGTTGCATTTTCAGTGGCTCAAATGTAAATTAGCCTAAGTACATTGATCAGTGAAATTTCAAAAGTGTGTGTGACTTTTGTGGCAAGAAGGAACTTTCTAGTCAAAAGATTCCAATTTGTCTTTATTTAGTTAAAAATACATCAGAAGATTTTTTAAAAATTAAATATTCTGCTACATAATTTAATGAAGACTTTCTCCTTTAATGATTTACTTAATCACAGCATCAAAGAGAAAAGAGTGGAATACATCCATCTCAAAGAAATTTCTGAACAGAAGAACAGCAGAGCAGGAGAATCCCTAAGAACTTCATGCCTAAGGGACCAAGCCACCATTTTTCCTCACATGCCCCACTGAAATGAATGGCAGTGTGCAAGTTCCCATTCAATTCAGGAGAGCTTTCACAGGAAAATCTCTGGGAAATGCCTGATTATTTCATTATTTAATTTCTAACCCTGGACAGAAAGTTATTTAAGAATAGGAGATGAAAGTCAATGCACTTGGTTATATCTTGGAAAATACAAGCAAGTATTTTACAGGTGCTGGTGCAACTCATTCCTACTTAGTTCTGTCCCATCCCACTTCACTCAAAAAATACAGGGCAATGCTGTTTAAATAAGGCCTTCTCCACTTTGTGTGGCGTGTGTCTGATTGTATTAAGCTTGCTATATTTTGTGCAACTGAACACTGGGTCAAACTGAGACTTTCATGACCTGGAATAAAGTCTTGAAAACCTCCAACTTGACCATTCTTTTAAACACACAACAGCAGGAATATTGCACAAACCCATGAACAGAAAAAAAATAAGGTTCATTTTCTTTATCAGTGAAGCTGCCACTGCAATATTGTCCATTTCAAACTTAAACTGTTTATATGACTGCACCATTTATGGATGCTAGAATAGAATGAAGGAAATATCAACAGTACCCAGCTGTGATAGGTGAATCAGCCTTTAGTGACCAGACATTTGATCTTCCCTGTTTTCCCCCTCTTTAAGAGATAGTTTGCCTGAAGCATTTAAGTAAAACAAGTAACAGAAAAATATAAGAGCCTTTGGCAGAGACATATCAAGCTCTAGTGTAGAATGAAGTCCCTATGAAAACAGCAAAATATATTCATTTACAACTCCAGCACAAAAAGGGCAGTCCAGTTGCTACAAGGGTGTGTGTGTGTGTGTGTGTGCACACGCACTCATTTTTGTGTGAGAGACTACCTCGAACATTTCAATAAACAGGGAAGATGCCATGGGAAAGGAGTCCCAATTATGGTTCAGAATACCTGCCAAGTTAGAAATCAAAATGGTAATGCTTGGATGAAACTATTTACCACTTACAGTGCAGCTTCTGTAGTTAGCTCTTTCTGTTTGTGTTTAGATTACTTTGCTATAGTCATTCTAATTAACTGATGCCTTCACTGACATGATATTCATCACACCACCAGTTAATCATTTGTAATTTCATTGAAATGAAGCCCACAAATCGCACAGCAACAGATTCAAGTAATATTTGATGATCAGTAGTGGACGACATCAAGCTTGAACTAGACAGTTACCAGTATTTTGAGCCAATATGCAGTATTTCCTTTTTGCTTTTATTTTAACTTATACCTTGCTAAATGTTCAATACTTGGAATGGATAGATACACATGATCTAGTTAAAATATCTAAAGCAATAATAGTTGCTAACTACCATCCAACTTACAATTTTAATTCTAGTCCTTAATGTCAATACATATACAAGTTCTGCAAAATATACTTTTTCTTCTCATGTATCTGTTCTAATGTTATGCATGTTAACCCACATTACCGTATCAAAATGTGAATTATCACTACAAACAGCTCATTGTTTGTAGCTAAAATTAAATCATAGTTTAATTATTTGTTTTCCTTTTTGTTTGTTTGGGTTTTTTTGTAGTTAACTCAATGTTTAAGAAAAGGAGAAATTAACATATTTAAGATACAATAAGTAACTTTTTAGAAAAAACACATTTTTTATTATTGAAGTTTAACCAAGCATGAAACGTAGCTATCTAAAGCAAGGTTCCACTTAATTACTACCATGCTACAATTTGTCCTGCAATTTGCTAAGCAATGGACAGTGGCTAATTCATAAAGTACTATTTTCACATTATCACAACTGAAGTATAATCTCAAACTTCATCAGATAATACAGCATCAGAACATTATAAATACTTCTCTACAATAGACAATCCACACTTACACCTTCTGCCTAAACTTGCTGTTTTCATTTAAGTTCCATAATGCTTATTTCCAAGTACTTGGGTACAATCCATAAAATAATAAGCACCTTTAATCCCAGTGAAATCAACAATGCTTAAGTACTTACTTTTCTCTAAACTCTATACTTCTGTATAAGATAATGATTTACAGTACATAATCACAGGGTTTTTTTACACTTGAGTTATCAATACACATTAAGAGTTCCCATAAATTTGTATTCAGCATTTCAGAGGGGAATACTAAGGAATAGCCGATCAAAGTGTACTTACAGTCCCAGTTTTCAGTATGCTTGCTTTAAAATACTGGGTTATCTTAATGAAATATCTTCAGTATGCTTATATCACAATAATTTATTAGTCTTAAGGTGCTACTAAACTCTTAATTCTTCTTACTAAACTCTTAGTTTAACAGTACACTGTTTAAGTTCATTATGTAAGTAATTAATAACAGCCCTATACATGTCTAGCAAAAAATGTGACCCACTTAGTTCAATGGAACTTGCTTAACACAAACTAGATTATAGCAGCCTACAATATACTAAGTATGCACATAGAGCAATTCTGTGCATTTTTACTTACAGATTAATCCCACAGTATTCAATGGGGATTCATGCTAATGCATGCTTAGTCAGAAGTAAATCATGCTGAATGGGGGGTGGGCTTGGTCCAATTAACTGTGTACTGGATCACACCCTCACTTGTAGATTCAGGTGGGCTCACTTCAGAGAAAACATACACTAGATAGTATTGCAATCTTAAGCATTTGATCTTAGAATTGGTGAAGTCCACCAGTCTCGCTTGGCAGCACATGAATCCAGAGTAATGCCTAGTCCTGCACAGAAATGTAATTCTAGGCACAACGTGCACCAAACCGGCAGCATGTTAACTTTATTAAATCTGCTCCCCACCCATCCCCAAGGCACTTTAGGCCAAACCCTGTTGACTCAAGACCCGTGGTGGACTGTAGTCGAAACGACAGGAGGGAGCAAGTGCACGTCTTAGCAGAGCAATCGCCTGTTGGCGCAAGGCATGACTAACTCCGCGAGTGCCCAGCTGCCCAGCTGCAGTCGCCTATCCTAGGTCGATAGTAACTACAGTGGATCGTCGAGCAAGTGACTTTTTAGGCGCCACTCCTTAGTGCTGAAGAAGAAAAGGGAGGGAACTTTCGGCCTGCGGAAAGCTACAGTTCAAGGAGGTGTGTCTTCTCTACGCTCCTGTCAAAGATACACTGCAGCGATACCCTAAAAGCCAAAGCCAAACCAATACCCAAAGTGCACGGGAAGCGGAGTATCTTGATTTCAAAGCGTTAAGCCTAGCGAACCTAAACGAGCTCCTTCTCCTCTCTCTCTTTCACCCCCAGGGTCGGCAACCACTCCCGCCCTACTTTTGCTAAAGTTAAACGCGTGCGAGCGACAGACGAGCCAACGCCGTTTCCTGATTTCTCCGCGCCTTGGGCTTAAACGCGCCAGCTGCGATGGCTCAGCACTGGCCAAGAGATAGCACGGTTTCTCCCCCCACCATCTCTCTTAAATTGGGCTTTGGTGTTGTTGCTGTTGTTAAGTCACCGTAAAGGAGAAGTCTCAGCCCAGGGCTTGGCGATGCGGTTGCCGTGGCAGCTCTCCTTCTAGGCTTAAATTTAGGGGCCCTTCCAGAGACAGAGCGAGCGCGGGAGGGAAGGAGAGAGACCTGCCATGCCCCCTGGCTAAATACAGGGTTAGCTCCCCTCGCAAGCTCTCCGACCTCCTCCTGCCTCTCCCCGAAGAGGAATGCAATCCCCCCGCCCGGCTTAGCTTTTGATCACCAGAAAGGTGGATATGGATGTTTAGAAAGGGGGGCTGGAGAGCGCTTCCCCACGTCTTCGTGGGCTGAGACCTTACAACTCCCGTCCCCCAAACAGAGACGCACATAAAACTAAATGACCGGGGAAGGGGGGGAGCGAGGAGAGCGCGACTGAGCGAGGGGGACCAGGCACCACAACGGCCGGCTGAGGGGCCGACGGTGCCAGAGGCCGAGCCGAAGAAGAGGCACCTCGGGAGGACTGGCGTGGGATGGCAGCGCCGCTTCCCCTTTCCCCAGCCAGACACGCCTCGGGAAACAGAGGGGATCGGCAGGTCGGCTGACCCGGCCGCCCCGCCGCGCACGCCTCGAGGACTCTTCGGAAGACAGGCGCCCGCCGCCGCCGCCGCCGCCGCTTCCCCTGCTGCTCCCCGCGCTTTACAGTGCAGGACCAGGGAGACGCCGCAGCGAGCACAGGAGGAGGCGGAGGCGGAGGCGGCAAAGGGGGAGGCGGCTCCGGCGTTGCCTCCTTTTCTTCTCCGTCAGCGCAAACCACGGGGCTGCGCGGCAGAACCTCCTCCCGGGAGCTGCCGGCACTCACCGAAAGGCAAGGAGCCGCCGGTCCCTGAACGCGCTGGCGGCGCGGCTCGCGTGTCTGTCAGCTGCGCGCCGCTCCCGTCGCCTGGATTCACGCCGCCGCCTCCGCCATGTTCCTGGGGCGCCGCGCATGCCCGGCAGCGGCACTGGGGGCTTCCCTCCGCCCTCGCGTCCTCCCTTCGCAGCCCTCTGACAAGGGGCGGAGGGGCTGGCGACGGTTCCCCCAGCGCCGCCGTCGTTACCACCGCGCTACTGACCCGTGCGAGTGTCTCTGGGCGGCTTTCCACGCCCACAGGGGCTGCTCCCGTGCACTTGCTGTTCCGGAGCGCGCGCCGGCCGCACGGCGCTTCCCCCAGGAGGGCGAAGGAGCGCGCCGAGGAGCACCCCGCTGGAAACCGGCCGGTAGCCTGCCCCCAGACCGATATTTCAAATATTAGCTCTCCAGGCGTAGCAACAGCAGCTGTATCTTATCAAGCATACGATAATTTCATATGGGAATAATATGCCACAAAATTCGATTTCAAAGGAATGATGCAAAACAAAATTCAAACCAGTTATGCTTAAAACCATAGGAAAAGAGGCTACCAAATAAACGCCTTCTCGTAATGAAGCACAATGAAAAGCTCGAGCATAGGGGAGTTTATTTTTTAAAGGGGGCACTTACTGGTAAGGCCCTGCTTCTTGTCCCGGCAGAATTGTTTTTAGACGAGATAGGGAGGCTTTCCCGTTTGATCTTAAGTAGTCAGCCTCCCAGAAGTTCACATAGATGTTACAACAGTACGTTGAATATATTGGGTATGGAAGTGATTGAACATAATAAAAGCAAAATAATTCTGTTACTTGATCCTATTCCGTTAGGCTTGAATCAGGACATTTTGTTGCTCTACTACAGATGTGAATGTAATACATTTACAACTCATCTTTCCTCTAAAGCACTCAAAACTGCAAATGAGTTGCTTCCTATCATTTTAGCCTTACAACAACCCTGTGAGGTAGGTTAGGCTGAGAGTCCATGCCTGGCCAGCTAGTGGGTTTCATATAACAGACATGGTATGTTTCTCTTATCATCATTTGCTACTTTTCAAATTATCACTGTGCTCATCTTGTGTACGGCAAATTATACGCATGTACTTTTAAATAAAATTAATCCACAATCAGCTGGAATCCTATGTGAAATGGCTGCCACATAGGATTGGGACATTTTTCCATTCCATTATCTCATACCCCAAAGTTCAGTTATCCTGAGGGTGATGTTGACTCTCAATGCCATCAAACAGTAGCATCAAAACAGTATTGGTTTCTCTTCCCCAAATGATTTCTTCTTGCTCCATAAAACTGTTATGCTTTGCATCAGCAGGGGCACCCAAACATTTGAATGCAGTATGGTGATAGCTTCAAAGACTGCTGGTATCGGAAGCAAGTGAACATTTTATTTCAATCTCCTTTGGCAGATTTTATTTAACTCTGCTTGCTGTACGTTTTAGAGGGAGTATTCTAAGGGACACAAGTTTTTTTTTACAGTTACCACATTGTTTCTAGATGTTAATAGTTTATTGTTTACAAGCTGCCTAGTGGCCTTGGCTTTTGGCAGAAAGGTGGGGAAGAGAGTATTCAAATAAATAAATACATTTCAAAGAGCTACACTTCAAAGGAGTTTGTAAGAATAGGGACACACACAGAAGAAGGGACCTTCTCTAGTCAGGGTATCTAGTGTAAAATAACTATATCCACTGTTGGGAATTTAAACACTGCCTCTGCCTCAGAATCTTACTTTAACAGCCGTTTTACCACTCTGCTATATTGCCAGAGGACTAGAGATAGAAAGCAGTTTTAGTATTTTGAATGCAGTAGGTAAAATTAGCAAGTCACAGCTTTATGTACTGTACCCACTCTTTACCCCCTAGAGTGCCCAGTCATAGTTTATTAACACCAGTGAGCGGGGGTGGGGGAGGGTGTCATAGATTAATAGTAGAATACTTGCTTTGCTTGGAATAAAGATTTGATCTCTGGCATCTCCACGTAGGCATACAATAATTCCTGCCTGAAATCCTAGAGAGCCACTGCCATTCAGTATCAACAATAATGGGCTAGATGGACCAAGGACCCAACTCAGTAAAAGGCAGGTTCCTAAGCAGGAGTATGAATTTGTTGAAAAAAATCCTAGCTGAAACGACAATGCCATACACATTATCCTATGAGTACGTCCATCAAACACAGCGAACTTACTTCTGGGATCCCCTATTCTCTATTCCCACCTAATCCCCCCTTTACGATTCTTAGTTTCAAAATGGCAGAGCCCTTAAAAGGGCTGCAGAGGGTCATTAAAGTGTAGGGACACATGTCAAAATTCCCTTCTCTGGGATACTATTAAGAAGTTTCATCAGAGCCCCTTCCCATTGTCCTGGCTTCCTCCTCTAAAAGCTCAATCAATTTTCTATGCCTCTTGGAGGACAATTCACATGTCTACCTTCATTAAGCTGTTCCTCAGGCTTTTCCTTTTCTAATTTACAAATGAGTATTTTTGTGCCTATCTAGTGAATCTCCTGATTGTGTAAAACTACTTTTTTCCTGTAGGAACCAGTTTCTTTGGAGCAGCTGGCAGGAATCAGACTACCAAAATCAGTATTCCAAGGAACAGTTGGCCACCAGTTAGTGACCAATAGTAACAGTCACTAATTTTATTTAAGAATTACAAGGTAATGGTATAACAACAAAAACAACACACAGCCTGTTTGACCTTATTTAATCACAGGTTCTGTGCATATTTCAGAACTGTTGTCCTTTGACATACATTTGTTGTATACATTTTAAGCTCTGTGATAGCAACAAAACAATCACTTTTGCATTATTAACCTTGCTGCTTGTTGCATCCTTCCCAAAATATGACTACAAACTTGGTCTGTAGAACCTCTATCAAAGTATGTAATGAAATGGAACCATGTTTCTAAGAGTGAGTCCTACTTAATTATCCCTCTGAACAATTGGTTATGGGGGTTCAGTTTTTCAGCAAGAGCCAGCTTTCAAGTTTTCAGAAACAATCCATTCAATGAATATCCTATTTTCATTTTCACCTTCCAGTATCAGGATATAATACTTTGTTGCTGCTGCTGGTAATAGTAAAACAGGTCTTGCTGCTCGAGTTCATCATTAAAAATGGGAGAAGTTAATAATAGGATGCCATGAACTGTTTGTTTTGCAATATAACTGTTTATTTTGAGAAATATAATTGAAGATTGCTCTCCAAAATATTTGCATGTGCTCACAAGCCCACTTCATGAAGAATACACTATGGAAGACCTGACAATGTGTCTAGAAATTTGGGGAAAATTGTGGTAATATAATTTAGTTGTATAGGTGTCAGATGCCAGCTAAGTACAGTATTATTTTTAAATGTGTTTCTCTAATTAAATGAATTATCTCTCAGATTTTATCTCAGTGTGTACCTGTAATTTGTTCCCCAATATCATTCTTCCAAATTACTTCTAATCCTCCTATTCTCCCATAACATGTTGTTTACCAGCTACAAATACCAAGACTAAATCTTTAGACCTGCCTTGCTAGCTGACACATTCATTTTGGAAGATGATGAGGGATCTTTGATATTAGCTTTGAAGCAATGCTTTGCATTTGAAAGACTTGAAATCAGTTCTTTCCTGTTATCTTGTAATTTTTCATGCAATGTTTTTGTTGCAATAACCTTTCCTCCCTTTATGATATCTGAGTTTGTGTGTTCCCTTTTTCCTCTCCATTTTTATATTACTTGTATTTATCCAGATCACTGAATTCTATGTGGTCCAGAAAGGAGATACATGGGGATATAGGAGGAGCAAGAATTTTGTTCCAGAAGGCCCACTTCCATTGTTGCTTTGTTTTTGTTTCCAATGGCACCTTCTGTAGAAATGAAAAAGAAGAAATCCAGCATTATGATCATTGCATGGGGGAATCTCTATAGCTACTTCATGAAACAGTCCAGGCTGTCTGTATTAGTGGTATAACTTGTTTAAGTTGAAAGGATTCATAATAAAGTTTTACACTAGGAAAACCAAAGTCTCTACTTTTTGTCTGTCCATACATTGTATTTTTACTTACGCATTTTACCCCAGTATTAAAAATTTCCATAACTTTCTGCTATTTTAAAGTGTGTTAGAATAATTTCTTATATCATATTGAGACATTATATTAAAGGCAGCCAGGAAAAAGTAGCTTCCATGATTGGCATCTGCCTTAAAATTTATGTAGTAGATCAAAGTTTATTTTGCACAGTTGCTTTAAACTTTTGCAATTATTTTGCCTGAATATTTAAAGCGAAATGTTTGCAAACTAAGTTTTTTTAATAGCGCCTTCTGGTCTTCTTCTGTCATATTCAAACAGATTTTAGATAATTTTTAATCCTGTTATGTCCTCATATTCAGATATGTTTAAGCCTTGAAGTAGCTTTTTAAAATTAAGAGCGCCATTGATATTTCATTTGCATATAAATTTATTAAACATCTTTATTAATGTGGACTCACTGAATCTTCTTATTGTTATGGACTGACTCTGCCAATGCCCTATCCCTACTGTAAATAAAATAGGTGAAAAAGGGCACTCTTTGTTTTGTGCCTTTGTATACTTTGAAAGGGGTGGAGTCTATATAATTTACTCTGACCATGGCTGTAGATTGTGAAACCAGTTGCCTAATAGAATCCATTTGGAGCCAAATTCTAATTTTTGTAGTGTCCTGATTAAAGGCTATCAAAAGCCTCAAAGATGTCTAAAAGAAAACAGCACAACTGTTCTCATACCAGTGCTATTGTGTTGTATTATGTTCAATACTCTGAACAGAATCAGATAAATACCTCTTATACTAACTTCTGTTTTGTATGTTTTGACATAAATTATGAAATTATTTTAGCCATAATTGATGTCATTATCTTACTAGTTGCAAATCTATATACCTTTATGCTTCTTGTTCATTTACATTGGCTCTCTGATTTTGGTATATCACTGATGAACTGGCAGAAACTTTGGCTGTCAAAACTATGGCTCCCCTTTAAAAATTGGGTTTGACAGGCAATGGGTGGTTTTGAGAGGGACATGTTATTTATGTATTTTAATTTTTAGATACTGCCCTATTGCCCATAGGCCTCTAGGTGGTTAACAAGAAATCAAACCCAATAATGATTAAACTTTGACTAGAAGCAAACATATTAAAACTGCTGAAAACTAATCTGAGAAGGCCTGTCTGAAGAGAAAC